TAAGCTAAAGGCCAAGCTTTCATAATTAATAATAAGTCTCTGGGTCATTATTTGCAGGCTGGCAGTCCAAAGATAGTCCAACAAGAAAGCTTGCTACATGTGTCTTATCTTTACATTCGACCAGTGAGTTAGGCATGTATAACTGAAGATGCAAAATCGTACAGATCACTACTAAACAGTGATTCAGCCTGGATTCATAATTTGACAATAAATTGATTTTAATGATTTATTACTGCCCCCTCAATTCTTCAAGTATCCAGGCCCATGCATCATGACATCCCACTGAAACATGAAGATTCAAGCATTATCAAAAGACATCCACCCCGAAGAATTCAAGTAAGATGAATTTAAGTCTTCTTAAAGAATGTTTTTGCTTTAATGCTGATATCTCTTTTCCTCTATAGTTGTAAAAGAACCTTAAATGCCTTGTTAATGTACATGCTGTTACAAAAAAAAAATGTTGACAGTTGCAAAGACCACAGTAATAGAATTTCCTTTAGCAGTGGTGTCACTTTTGAGGCTCATAACCCAAAAAAAAGTATGCTAACGAGGACTCAGCTAGAGAATTAAGGAAGCATCAGATAAGAGAAAGCATGGGACTCTCTGTGAGAGAGAAAAGGAACCAGCCACATCCTACCTGCTCCACAATTCACCTAGATGCCTAGACTAGTTCCAGGGCTAATGAACCTTTTTGTTGAAGACTGTTTCTGTTTCCACCTGGTCTTGTTTACTTGTCTTCTTTGGAAGCTCAAAATTACTACTTGAACCTTTAGTTCCAAAAGAGAATTTCTCACAAAAATATTAGAAAAGGCAAAAATATTATTTAGCTCAGAAAAGTAAAGGGTAAATACACTAAGTCAATGTCTAATTTAAAATTGTGAGTAATCTCTAGCTTAGCAGAGCAATCCTGAAGTTGGCTTCATTCTTAAACTAAATGTGTTCCTTCAAAGCAGTATTTAGTATATGGCCCTGTGAAGCCCTGACACTGGCTAGCTCAAACAGAAGAAATCACTACAATCAGAGAAATATGTTCCTGTTGTACTCTCTGGTCCTCAGAATAATTTTAATATTTACCAATCTTAATTAAATTAAGGTTAGGTTTTATTCCCCCAAGTTCAAAAAGAAGATCTGGATATTTCAGAATCTGGCACTGTACCCCACACACCAGCAAAGCACTTTAAAAATAATCAAGACACATTATCCGATTGCAAAGACTCGGCCTTGCCCAATCTTACATCTTCAGCCACTGACATGAACCACACAAACATCTAGGAATGAATGAATGAAAGGAGGCTCAACCCTGCTGGAGGGGAAGCACACCAAGTGTACAGATATCAGTGTGCTAAATTATAAGGATGTGGGGATGTTTTGTTGAACCTAAGAGCTGGGATACACTAGAATTAGCAAAGTTCTGGAAGGCAGAACTCTGTAGATCTCCTGAGCTCTCCTTTGCATACCTGCTTTAATTTTCCCCAAAGATCAGTTTTCTCTGCTCCTCAGGGCCACCCTAAACTTGAATCTTATATATCCAATCAAATGGACAGAGCTGGGCTGACCATAGCTGGGATTCCAAATTCCTGTGAAGGAAAGAACCTATTGGCTCAGCTTCGCTAATGAGTCTAGCTCTGATCCAATGAGCTGGGAGTGCAAGACGTGCTTGTGCTGTAGAGACATGGGCAGAGGAGTCACCCTGTAGGTTCTGGAGTCAGCTCCCAGAGAAAAGGGAAATCACTAGGAACTTGGCAGACACTCCCAACGATATCATCTATAATTATCTTCACAAATGAGGCTCGGCACATTTTCTACCACAAATGGGTTTTTTGAGAGAATAATAAATGCTAGGTTCCCATGACATGCTAATTAATAGCCTGATCTCTGCCAAAGAAAATTCTAAAAGTATTTTTAATTATTAAACCAAACCTAATTGTATCCTAAATAATTTGAGTTGCATATTTGGCGCTCTTCACTTCCTGAACATCTCTACTCCTCAAGCAGAGAGCATCTCTTCCTGGAGGCAAGAACTGAGCCTCTCTGCCTGGAGCTCTTAATCAATAGTTCTCCCCCGACTTCTGCTGTGTAGAGGAGTTGATCAGCAGCACCCCCTGTGGCCTGCCCACCTGCTAATACACACACACACACACACACACACACACACACACACACACACACACAGAGTGTTGGCCCAGGTAATCCAGCTGGATAATTCTGAGTTCCAGAGATCTGTGCAAATTTTAGCATCTCTATAAGGCTCACCCTGAACAACCTATTAACCATTGCAACCCATTCTCAGCAGTCCTGATTCTCTCTACCCTTTCTATCTCTTTTTCGCTGCACTTTTTTTTTCATCAAAGTTATTGAGAATCCCTAATTTTAACACTTGAAATCCAAAATCCACTTTTATCTGAACACTAACATCACCCCAGGAGAAAAATCCCGCACCTGATCTCATGTGCTGGTTTGCTGCCCAAACAGCAGAAACACTGTGTAAAATTACCTTCAGTTAGTGCACCTAGCAAACATATCAAACAAACTGTGTTGAACTTGGGTCCCATTCCCAAGACAGCTCATTATATATATGCAAATATTTGAAAATCCAAAATAAAACCCCAAATTTGAAATACTATTGGTAACAAGAATTTCAAGTATGGGATACTCAGTGCATATAATATATACAACAGGGTTTTGATAAGTGCTGGCAAAGTCCCCAAAGGAAATAGGAGGTACACTGAAATCATAGTAATTCAGGGAAGTTTTCTTTGTAACTATCCATGCATAGAAGTTTGATTAAGAGAAACAGCCAAAGATATTGCAGTCACTGTTAAGAGGTGGTTGATGGATAACCAGCTCCAGGCCAAGGCAAGGGGACAGATTTCTGGAGCCTGAAAGGAAAAATCCAGATAGAAAAATCTGTGTTGTGAATAAGAGTGACCCTCCACTGAGAGACACAGTCACCCCATATCATCTTGTGAAGAGCCAGAAGCCCAAATACCTGGCCTCATCATCATCCCCTCCTATTGGCTACACTCAGTAGGAAGTCAGAGGCCAGGAAGCTGCTGCATGAGTACAGGCAAAGACAAGGGAAGAGAGCAACATAAGACACCTGGCACCATTGTATTCAATTGCAAGCGTTTCCTTCAAGCTAAGACTTTCTTACTGCTGAGTGCCACATTTTATTGATTTTTGTCCTCATCTATTAAAACAATCACATACACCCACATAAAAAATAAACAACCCAGTGGGTAATCTTCTCCCTAGTTGAAACAGTATAGATTTTATAATGCTGACCCATGCTTCCATTTCTGGCATAAACCTGACCTGGTCATAAGTCTCTAAGTGCATGCATTGCTGAGCTGGATTGCCTAAGGCTTTGTACATCTGGTTTAATGAGTGAGATGGATCTATGCTTTTCTAATGCACTTGTACACCAACTTTGCCACCAAGATGGAATTAGTCTTGTAAAATGAAGAAATTTCGCATCCCTTATTGTAACACAGGAATTCTCTATTCTCCTAATGTTTAGTAAAACGTGCCTCCAGTACTATTTTTAAACTCTTGGACTTATAAGGGAAGTGATAATTTTTCCTGCTAGCTTAATTTCCTTATACTTCTGGGTTGACTTGAGTATCTTATTCTTGCTGACTGTTTCTTGGAAATTATCCAGTAAGCACCAAGCTTTTGAATTTATTGCTACAAAGTCTTATCTTCTTCATATTCAACCTTTTTCTGTCTTATGAAATGAATCTTCCAGCTTACAGTGTGAAGCACACATACATGCTCGAGTGTGTGTGTGTGTGTGTGTGTGTGTGTGTGTGTGTGTGTGTCTCACTCTGTGTGTGTGTGTGTGTAT